TATATATATATATAATTATACCAATCATCTAAATGAACTCTTGTTATTTTATCATATGCATATTAATTGAAAAAATTTTATTCAATAACGAAATAAAATGGCAGTTGAATAGTTTAATAAATTTATATTCATAAACTAAAAATAGAAAATTATCTTCTCTTTTTTTTATCAATGCTTCGAATGCTAACTTTTCATGATAAGTAATCAGTATAATTTATCAGGCTAGAATTTTTTATATTCTACTATTATTTCTCTTTTTTTTTCGTTCATGTTGTTTTGATGATTAATGAAATGGAATACACACCAGCTAAATAACATTGTTTATTATATTTTTATCATTATTTTTTCTGTACAGAATGGAGAGTCTTTTTAACATTGATACCTGATTTGAACATTCTGAATTTATGCATCGCCAAGTATGTGTTATAGGATCCACATAATTTACATTGTCATTCATAATTAATCTGATATATTCTGCATTGTTTTTACTTTCGTTTACTACAAGTATCTTTGAATATCGCTTATTTTAGATTCCTAAAAATTTATCACATGAAAATTTGATCAAGCTCATTTTTAATGTTGTTTATTTGCAATCTTCTGTACATCATCAGCAAACTTCCTAACGAGTTTTCCCAATTCAGATGAGTCTGATAGCTCAATTACTTGAGCATCGCTCGGAATATCATAATCACCATGCACTGGCTGTGAAACTACGAAAATGAAACTTGCAATCAAAAAAGCAGCAATTACGAGAATCTAAAAGTAGGGGAAAAAAGGAAGCATAAGCATTTAAAAATGATATACAAATACTTTTATTTACATTATTATTTCATTCAACTGAGTATTAAAAATGCATTGTATCTAGGGTCCGTTAGTTAACCTAAAGAGAATAATCTAGAATGATCGTTGCAAAGAATAATCTAGAATAATTGTAGGAGAGATAAGTGCAATGCTTAGAAGAATAATGAAGACGCTTTTATGTGACATTTCATCAGTTTCTTCAGAAAAGATTTTCTATTTTATTTTTTAACCGTCGTTAAACAGCCGACACAGTTTTTTGGGTTTACGACTACTAATGTACAACTTCGTTATTCCCAATCCAGCAATCCAGGAGACAATGGAACTCCTGGATCAAATATTGTGAGAAATTTGCCTTCGTGGTGGACTTTTTGATGGGATTAACCCGCATTTGCGTTACATAGAGAGAGGAAAACCAAGAAAACCTCGCACGGTAAGCCTGATGCCAAAGGGACTTTTACTCACGATCCGTATACCAATATTTTATGCTAGCAATGGGGTCAGTGCGATCCGGGTGCGGAATTCGTATAGACCAATCATCGCCAGGATTTAAAGCAGAGTCACCTCATTGGAAGACAAACGTTCGATCCCCTGAGCAATAACGGCTCTTTTCTCTTATAAAAAAGGAGATTATATTTACAGAAAATATTTTATTTTATTTTATAACCGTCTTTGAACTGCAGACCCAATTTTGGGTCTACGACTACTAATGTTCAACTCCGTAGCCTTGTTAATTTGAATCAATCCAGAAATAAAGGAAACTCCTGGATCAGTACCCCCAGAAATATGATTTTTCATGGGAACTTTTTGACACTACAGATATAACGTGCACCTGTCACCATTTACTACACGTGGAGTCTTCCGACGGCGGGAATCGAACTCAGTGCCCTATGATTAAGAAAAGATTGCTATGTTTGGATTACTACTTCAGCAAAGAATATTTCTCTCATTGTTTTTTTAAATAAATAAATAAACAAAACGTAAGGGCCGCCGCTGGTGTTTTTGGGTGTTTAACGTAACCTTTTTTTTACGTAAAAGCTATTAGATTTAGAAACAAGGAATGAGAAAGTTGTGTAGAAAAAATGTACAAAAAGTACGATGAAGTAAATAGATTTAAAATTTGATAATTACTTCGTTAACAATTACCAGTTAAGCGTGTAGTAAAAAGTACAACGCGGGCCACTCGACAGGTCACAAAAGGGAGTCGAAAGGGCTAATTTTATTTATGAAATCAACATGATTGTTTTTCGTAAATCCAATTTGCTATTCCAATTTAAAATGTTTTCTACGCGATTTTTTCACTCTTTTGTTATTAAATATTAATTTTTATTCCTTTGCTGTTAAAAATTTTTTCTCTACCGAGATCTTCATTTCATAAAAAAAATGAAAGTGATGGAGGAAAATTATGGAGGAGTGAGTGAATTTCGTTGCCAGATATAAATTTTAATATTTATATCGAAATTGTTAAAGATTTAAAACAGATAACCTTGTTATAACAGATAACTATGGTATGATATAATGTTATCGTTGTATAATGTTCAAAGGTAAAATTACTTCTCATTGTGTCGCTTATTCAGTATTTCAAAGTTTTGAAATTTTTTTCAAGAACAACTGATTATTTCTCGAACCCAGGTCAACGTTCATTCCGCCAGAATTAGCATATTAATAATATAATTTTACATAAAATAATAATATTATTTTTACTAGCAAAATGCTTCTTCCCTTAGCAAAAATTTTGAGAAAAAAACCAATGATGAATGAGCAAGCATGGGGCTGAAAATCCTAGCGCTAAACATAAATGCCAGAACTGGCATGCTCAGTCTTAAGAATTAAACATAGTTTATTTCAACATTATTAAAGAAAGCCGCGATGGCTCAGGGGATAGAGCGACTACTCACATTGTGTTATAATTTTAAATAATTTGCAACTACTTATACTTACTATTTCAAATAGTATACAGCTACTCATATTTTGTTATAATTTTTACGTAATAACAAAATGTGAATAAACTTTAGTCTAAATTAAGAGATTTTTAAACATTTACCTGAATGGAATTCATGATTCGACCTTGTTCCAGAACGATCTATGTAATTCGAATAAAAAAAATGACCTTATATACATACATATCATTTATTAAAATTTTAACGATATCTATCAAATAATAATGGGCTTGCATATGGAATATTCTTTGAATAAATGTGATTTATCAATTTTTATGGAAAAATTTATGATTTACATCTCATCTTTTATGCATATTTAACTGCATCTCATTGTACCCACGAAATATTAAAACATCATTTATTGATTCAACAAAAATGTATTACTTGTAAAACTCTTTTTAAACTCCTTTATAGATTTATTGCTTTGAAAAAGTAATTTAAATAGTTAGCATATTTTAGATGATTATTAACTTTGTACAAGAATTATGTAACTTTATCAAAATCTGAAAACTTTGTTTAATATAACAAATATTTATAGCATTATACATAAATATAATTTAATGAAATGTATCTAATTTCTCTTTTTCTAATCTTGGTATTAATACAGTATTTCAAAAATTTTCTTTAAAAATAATTTTTTTTTAAATTATGTACAAATATTAAAAACTTCGTCTCTCAAGTAGATTTAAAACAAGATTTTTTAAATTATTTTAGTCAGATCTCAAGCAATAAAAGTAAGACACATAACTACCATACTTCTATTCTTTTGCATCCTGGAGTATCTGCCAGCCTCCACACACCTGCTGCTTTTCTCCCTTTTTTTATTTTATCTTAAATCGAGGTTATCTTAGCGAGGTGAAAATCCTTGAATAACGCTAGTAGTAAGGAAAAAATAATATTAAATCTAGGTAATTATAAGGTTTATTTTCGGGACGTCTTGCATGCTCAGCTGAAATCCACCTTGTCATGAAATTTTAATGGACAATGCAATTTGATCTTATAGCTAGTGAGACTTCATTATGGACCTAAATGACCGTTTTTCCAAAGTGACAATATTTTTTAAAAAAACATTACAAAATAATTAAGATGAAAGGTTTGAAACTGTAATATTTTTGCTTTCTTAAAAAAATGTTTTAAGTAAAAACATTTTCGTGAGAATAAAAAGAAAATTCCGACACATGGTTGTTGTAAGGTTACATGCTTTCTGGGCATAAGTTGATAAAAAACTGAAACTTCTAAGTTATGACTGGTGAAAAATGAAATCCTTTAAGTTATTTACGCGCAATATAGGCAAACTGTTACTAAATAATAATTTATAGAGAAGCTTGTTTTTTAAATTTTTTTTTAACGAAATAGCTTCCATATAATTCAGCAATAAAACTAGTATAACTTTCGATGATATGAATCAGCAATAATTCGTTCTCGATCGTGAAACAACAAGGTTTAATGTTTCGATTGGATATGGAATTCTAAAATGAAGCGTGGTTTCAATTGTGTTTTTAATTATAGACTATGAGCATGAAAATGCATGTAAGTATTATCTATTTTAATTTCATAACTTCTTCTTTGGAATGTGATAATTTTGGGAAAATGAAATTGTTTAGCTTTGATATGTGTGAGAATTACATTTTTATTCTATCTTGATAAGTAAGAAAGCGAATTTTCTTTCATTTTGACGTATGTAAAAGTTTATATTTAAGTTTGATAAAGGGAAAAGAGAAAATATTTAGAAATTTCTGATAACATACTCAAATTTATAATAATATATGAACTTCTTTCTTTGATTCATTCTTTGATTAAATGAAAAGTATGCCTTATTTAATCATTTTATCAAACGAAGTATATGCAGATGATATATGTTAGTTCCTCTGATTGAAAAAAATGTATATACTAACGTTCGTTCATTTGATTAAAGGAAGTATTTGATTAACTCTAATATTTGCAACTAAAATATGTCAAATCATTTGATCCAGGAGTTCCCTTGTCTTCTGGATCGTGTTCAAAGTTACGAAACTTTGGGGTTGAACATTAGTAGTCGTAAATCCAAAATATTGGGTAGACTGTTCAACGACGGTTTTATAAAATAAAGTAAAAATGAGAGCAAAATTCTTGCTCGAATTTTAACATAAAATTAAGACCATCTTCATGGGTTGGCCAACACACGGGGTGAGTCCTGGTCTTCTTTGAGTGCTTGTGGGTCTAAAAAATTCTATATGTAGTACAAAACGAATAAAGGAACGGAAGAACTAATGAGAAAATCAATAAAAAAGTGAATTAATAAACTAATGAATCAATAAATTTAAAAATCAATGAACCAAGGGATAAATGAATGAACGAATCATTATATAAGTGATTCAATGAATCAGTGTTTTAAAGAAAAAACTAGCTAATTAAAAAAGTATGAAGAAAACATAACGTCAGCTGATAAAAGAAATTTGGAGTAATTGTTTGAGCAAATCAATTAATCATCAAAATAATGAGTCAGTGAATCAATAAACCTAGGAATCAATGAAACTGCGATTTTTAAATAAATAAATTAGAAAACCAATGAATCATAGATTTGTCAGTTCGATGATTCAGTAATTTTTTCTTCCGCTGAGTTATTGATTCTGTTGTACACTGAATTGTTGATCTACGTTTTTCATTTATTCACTGATTATTATATTTTCCAATTCATCAATTCCTTGGTTCATTGCCTATTGATTTCCTCAATCATCGGTTTATTGACAGGTTGATTCGCTTATTCTTTTTGTATTCAATCCGTTGATTTATTGATTAGTTAACGTTTTCCTTATAACTCCTTTTTCTAATATTTCTAATAATCCAATGATACTTTGATTTATTGATTTACTCATTCACTGATTTGCATTTAAAATATTTGTGTGATTCGATTTCTTACTGTCGGACGAATTGTTAGAACGAATTCTGAGTAAAAATTACTGTACAAAACCGAACATATATTTAATTCAGGTCTTTTTTTATATTTTTCTAAGTAAGCAAGCAAAATGATTTCGGTTTTTTACTTTTTTCATACATAAAAAAGTAAGAACTATAGTGCAAATGTTTGTTTTTATTTCATTAACCCTTTTTTTTTTGCTCGTTATTACTCATAACCTTGCGTTATATTGCACATTCCTCGTTTTCGAACATGAGAACTTCAAGAGGATGCTATATTGTATCGATACAAAGAAAAACTGATGACCTAAAAATTAAAGGAAAACATAATAAAGTAAAAATTTAATATTTGCTGCATTCTGCACCAGTAACTAGTTTAATTTTCTCATTGAATTTTAAGATTAATTACACAATTTGTCAATAGATGGCGCTTTTGACTGGAAAAATTGCAATGCAATGTTTCCTGCTGCATTATAATTGCCTTTTAAACGAAAGCTGTGGTAATTGAAGTATTGTAGTTGTATATTTAGCAAAAACTACAAAGTATTGCAGTTTCTTATTTAGCAGCACCGTCTGTTGACAAAATTAGGAACTAGGTTTGAAACTTTGAATAAAGTGTCTGTTTTCTTAATAAAACTCAGTAAACCATACATTTCTATACTCTTTTGTATTATTTTTTTAAATTGAATATTAAATTGTTGATTATTTTTGAGGTAAAATTTTTCATGAAAGTTTGAATCATGCTGTTTTTCTTTTTTACAGATTTTTATAGTTAGTCTGTTGCTATGTTCACTTACTTGCACAACGTGGGCTGACATAGATATGAGGCAGTTAAAAGAAGGTATTAGATACATGAGACCTGTGCACGTAACTTTGCCTGATTATTTGAAAACAGCAAAAACTGAAACAATTACGGTACCCGAAAAAATTAAAAACATGCTTCAAGAGCTGCTCGGTGAATGAGACAGAAAGCGTAGGTATTGCACTTCAACTTGCACTTGCAATAATGGTTTGTATTCTTCACATTCTGCTTAGCTTTACACATTATAATCTGTATCAACTTGTACCAGTGATAATGGCTTTATTTTGAAAAAGAAAATATTGTACTTTTTGTATTCTATCAAGTACATGTATTGTCTTGTGCATACAAATACATTTATATACATATTATTGTATGTTTTAACTTGTTCTGGTGATAATTAATAATATTATTTCCAAATATAAATGCTGTACGTTTTATAATCTGTCTAGTACATATAAACACATTTTAAAAAATAATGTTATATGTTTCAATTTGTTCCTGTTCCGGCGATTATGGTCTTATTTTGTGCAAAAATTATGGTCTTATATTTATCCAAATAATACATCAACTTGTACCCAGCAATAATGGTTTTATTTTGAGAAATACACGATTTTACTTTTTATATTCTGTTTAGTAATACCTAAGCTAATATGTTTCAACTACTTTTAAAATGTGATTTGAATAAATTTAACTTATTGCATATAATTTTGAAGTATTTTAACTACTTTCATTTATTAACGCAAAATCAGTTTACCTACATAATAAGCCCTATTGTTGCATTTGCTTTCACTGAAAACTCCATAAAGAACAACGTACTTCATTACTTGAAAAAAGTTAGTTTTAGAACAGGTTGTATAATTTATGTTTGTAAACTATTTAGGATTTTAGTTTTTAAACATAGAAATTATGAAAATTTTACAAAACTTTGAAAATTTTACAAAATTTTGAAAATTTTACAAAATTATGAAAATTTTGCAATTGTTTGTAAGTTCAATGTATCGCATTGCAAAAAAGTATAAAGTAAAAAAAGGTTTTCTTTTTTTCTCTTTTTGTTTCCCAATAGAAACCTGTTTTTAAAACTTCCTGTTTCAAAACAAAAAGAAGAAAAAAAATGATTTTTTTTAAAGTTAAAAAAGAACATGTTTTTCAAACTTAATTTATAGGTTGTCAAACAAAAAAGAACACGTATTTCTCACAAAAGACGCTTTCAAAATCAATACCGCGAAATAAATATAAGCATATTTATTCATTTATTATTATTTACATTCATATACAATCTCTAAATATTTTTAATAACTAAAAATAAATGGTTGAATACAGTAAATTAAGTGAAGCCAACAATTTTGACCCGATTTATTTAAAGATTTAAAACCTTATATCTTGTACACAAATCTTGCACTAGCTTATAATCGGAAAAAAAGATAATATGATGCAAGTTCTCATCAATTAAAACATTTTTTGGAAGATTTTCAAATGTTTAATACCAATTTCTAGAAATTCCTTTTTCGAAAAAATATTTCAAACTACAACAGGACTAAATTCTAATAAATTGCATCAAACCTAGTGAGCTGAGTTTAAAATAATGCTATCAAAATATTTTTCCTAAACTTCTGGACCTCCGTGGACTGGTTACAGGAGCCCTGAAAGATAGGAATTTTTTAAACTATCATAACTATAATTATAACAAAAAAGGTCCAAATTTCACACATTTAACGAGCACGTTCTGCGTTCACACGCCAATTATTTTACGACCACCAGCATCTAACTGACTACCACGAGACCTCCAATCAGTAGCGTGTGCTACGCCTTAACCAACTGAGCTACCGAAGCGCCAACAGTTTTTAACGTGTAGTCTATCTCTTCTGTTTTGAAATATATTTAAAAAAAATTCCACACCAATTTTAAGTTCAATTTAATTCACATTTAATTTAAGACTTTGGAAAGTATACTTTCCAAGGAACATTGTTCAAGCTTAAATCTTGAATATCATTTTGATAACACCAAAATTATAATTTTTTAATGCAAGCTCTCATCAATTAAATTGCCTTTTTGGAAAATTTTCAATAACTTAATACATATTACTAGAAAGTTCTTTTTTGAAAAAATACTTCAAACCAAAACAAAAATATAATTTTTTTTAATATGATGCTGTTGTTGTTGTTAATTTACGGCGCACTAGAGCTGCTCAATGGGCTATTTTATTTTATTTTATAACCGTCGTTGAACAGCCGACCCAATTTCATGGGTTTACGACTACTTACGTTCAACTCCGTAGCCTTGCAATTTTGAACCAATCCAGAAGACAAGGAAACTCCTGGATCAGTAC